GGCTCCCTGGAGTGCAAAGGCCTCCTTATTGACATCCATGTTCAGGGATCTGGATCAGTCTTGTACTGGCCTCCCAAAGAGCATCTGGGGTCGATGTGCTCTCCCTTGTTCAGGCCAACTGTTCCTGTGGGTTTCTCCAACCTGGTACAGACCCCTTCGTTCTTCATTCTTCCCTTTCTTCAACTAAATTCCCGATTTCGGCTCAGTGTATATCTGTGGATGTCTGTCTCTGCTGTCTCTGCTTCCATCAGCCACTGAGTGAGGGCTCTAGTTCCTGGGTCGGTCGGCGGAATCTCTGGGGCTATTTTTTTAATGTGGTTTGTGTGCATGTATAGCACCTGATTGCAGTGCCAGTGGAGGCCACAAGAGGGCATCAGATTCCCCCAGAACTAGAGCTTCAAACCACTGTACACTGCCACATGGGTGTTAGGAATCAAACCTGGTCCTCTAGAAGCGCAGCACACGCTCTAAACCACTGAGTCGTGTCTCCAGTCCCCCTGTGGCTACTATTTTCATGGCTTCTTTATTCTTTCCAAGTAGGAGGAAACATAGTATTTTTACAGTATTACAAAGAAGGAAAAGCTTAAAGAAAGCCTTTAGGAAAGTCTACACAGAGGACTGAAGACTGAACCACAAGGAAAGTCTCACAGAGAGCCAGTCACATCCCAGTGTCTGCCAGCTTTAGAGCACAGCACACACTGTATTACAAAAAATATTGTATTTGAGGCAGAAGACTGCATGGGCTCAAGGCTGAAAATGACCCTCCCCCAAACTTTCACCCTCCTCAGGGGAAAACAATGGGATTTAAGCACTACTACTTCAATATCAGTAGCAGGTAGGAAGTAGAATAAAAACAAATGTCCGTGATTAAGTAGAGGGAGGCTGCCTTGTCTAACAAAGCAACCCAGGAGAAATCTCTACTCTACATAGCAATTTCCAGGCCGTCCAGGGATACATAGTGAGATCCTGCCTCAAAACAACAACAAAAGTAAAACAGACTTCAACATTCTTTTAATTCATCTATGCTTTTATTCATTAATTTTTGGGTGACTGTACCACATAATACCTTATAAATTAGTGAATAAGAGATGACTTAGATACAGTAAGAAACACACCAAATAGTATGTTGGAAATGTGTGGCAATAATAGGTGCTCTGGCACACAAAAAAAAGTCCAACAGAAAAGGAAGAGTGGTGGTAAGGCAGAACACATGGGGATATGCAGTGGACACTTGAACTTGGGAATAGGAAAGAGCTATGTCCCACCAAAGAATATACTCCTCCAAAACAAAAATAATAACAAAACCCTCCATCTAGAAAGAACAACCATCATAAACCCTTCTAAGGCAAGAGAAAGCCTGGTGTTTTCAATAGGAAGCTAGATAACTCAAACCCAAGCAGGCAAATTAGCAGCAAGTAAGGTCAGTGGATAAGAAAAAACAGAAGCTTCGACATGAAATGCAAAGCCTGGGCAGTTTAGAGTAAAGAAAATCCATGCTCTAACAAGTTTTTGTTGTTGTTATCTTCTGGCCTTATTGAAGAATAATTGATCAAGTTAATTAACACATCCATCATTACATACAATGACTATTTTGTGGACAGGGGAGTACAGTGAGGACACTTAAGATCAAATCTCTTCACAAATTTCTAGTATACAATGGGTTATTATTGAGCAGACTTATGATGCTATACATTAAGAGCCCTAAAATTAACTCATCTTTTAAGGGAAAGTTTTGAGCTTGGGTCTTTCACTCATCATTCCTGTCAATCAGGAAAGCAGAATAAAAAGGACAGATGGAGGCACAGAGAACAGTGAGGTCAGAGAGGTGCTGGAGAGGTGCTGGAGAGGTGCTGGAGACCTTAGGAAATGAGCTGGAACTGTCACACCAATGAGAAAATAAAGGTAATCCTCTACATACAAAGACTCCTCAGCATCCCTGAACTAACTCAACCATGCTCATTTGCTACCTGAAGACAAACTCATGGGTTACACTCACTTCAGAGCATTTCCTAATATATACAACCACAAAACTAAAACACCGGGCAAACACTGTCAGTTCTCCACTGAGGTTAATTCACAAAAATAATTTTCAATCATTTTATTTTAATTTTTCTATTTACTATTATTGTGGGGGACACACACGAGTGGAGATCACAGGACAGATAGGAGCTTCTTCCAATGTGGAATTCAGGGAGGTCTTGGGCTTCTGAAGCAAGCCCTTCTCACTGGCCCAGTCATTTCATTTGAAAGAGCAAGTTTCAAACAAATTATGCAACTTCATCTCTACGTCTCCACTATGGATTACTTTTCCTAAAATCCAGGGTAGATGCAGAGCATTATTGAATTTAAAGGAACATAGAGGCCATAAAAGGAGGTAGAACCACTGCTTACTTATGGTAGCAACAAGAGGAACTCTGGGAACTCTTCCCAGGCTAACTGATTATAATTTGTTGTTCACTCTAAGAATGTGCCACCATCACAAGGTGAGAGAGAGTATGTTTTTATTTGAATCGACTTTCTCTCAAAGATTCTTATACCTAGAGATATGTACAATTTTTAGGGATGTGACATACATGTCCTCAAAATATTATAGGATACTTTTAACGGGTCATATTCTCTGTAAAGTATTAAACAACAGACTTACTTAATATTTGACAGCAATTACTGAGAACAGCTCAATATCTAATAAGTAACTACCTCATTTTAATGTTGGACATTTAAAATTACAAAACTGCCAGGCACTGGTGGCACAAACCTTTAATCCCAGCATTTGGGAGGCAGAGGCAGGTGGATCTGTAAGTTCAAGGCCAACCTGGTCTACAGATAGAGTTCCACGACAGCCAAGACTACACAGAGAAACCCTGTCTCAAAAAATCAAAAAAAAAAAAAAGCAGACTAAAAGAGAAAGCAGCAATCCAACCTGAGATAGCATAAGCAGAAACAGAATCCATTATAATAATAATTAATAACAATAATAATTCAGGGACGAAAAACATCCCAAATACATATGTGAGTCAGTGGGAAAAGACACCCTCACAGCAGTTCACTAGGAGAGAATCTATTAAAGAGATTATTAACAGAAATGGAGGTAAGCATGACATTTATCATGACAGACCAAACGGTAAGTTGAAAAACAACACCTCTAACCCTGAAGGGTCAAGCGGAAGGCACACTGTCACTCCCCGCTACCAAGAGCCCCATCTATGAAACAGGATCCATCTGGTACAAGGTGCAGCTCCTGAAAGGAGAAGCTCCTTCATGGGCGCAACAGAGCAGAAGATGGGAAGAAATAATACCTTGACTTCTTTCTTCTCCCACCCTCTTAAATCCCCCATTGGTGCTTACTGTCCTAACCTAATAAGAAGCCAGAAGGCAAAGGTGCCCAAATGATGAAATCAGCCTCACACAGCACAATAGAAAACCAAGCACCAGAGGGGAATGGATCCACAAAGACAAAAGAACAACTAATCATCACAAGCTATTCAAACAGCAATGCCTCTACACCAAATCATTAATTGAGTACAGTCCTTTCTGGCAACATATCTCTTACAATCTATAGTGCATTCATGCATTTAGAAACTAGAAGTTTAAGAACATGGTCACTGGGGCCAGCAAGATGGCTCAGCAAGTAAAAAGCACCTGCCACTAAGCCTAATGACCTGAGTTCTATCCCAGGGACCCACAAAGTAGAAAGAGAAATAAAACCTCACAAGTTGTCCGGCTACTTCCACTGACACACTGTGGCATGTGTGCGTGTGCATGCACACATGCACACAAACACAATACACTTTTAATTCTTTTAAGATTTTTAACTTGTATAAGTGTTCTTCTGTATTGTGTACATAGAAGTGGAGTTATAGACAGTTGTTAGTCACCATGTGGGTTCTGGGAACTAAACCTTCCTCTGGAAGAGCAACCACAGCTTTTAGTCTCTGGGCCATCTCTCCAACCCCCACAATTTTTTTTATTTTAAATCATTACTAAAATATAAGAATGAAAAGTTATATGTGAACTTAGTAAAATCACAGCTAAAACCATGAACTATAAAAGCAGACTGAAAAGGCAGCAACAGTGCATACTAAATGTCTACTAGTTCACCAGCTGAGAGACCCACAGGTCATAAGCTAAAGCACAGGACCTGATCAAGCCCTTCCACTGTCTCAAGGACAACAAACTTCCCTTAAGATTCTGTTTCCTAACAAGCTCCCTTCCCAAATCAATTCTGACTGCCTTAAATACATATAATATGTATATATGCATTAAATATATAAGGAAATTTAATGTTATGCCTTTTTAAAAAAATATAATCACATCATAAAAACAACTAAATAAACTGAGACAAAAGAAAACAGGTAGGAAAGTAAAAGTTTCAAGTTAAAACTACTGTAAGCATTCATGATGCAAAACCAGGAAAAAAATAAGAAAGTGGACATTGTAAACAGTGTATTAGTTAGTTCCAAAATATTTTCCTGATTTGTTAAAGTGGATTAATACTAAACCAAAACCACTTTAGCTGAGCACTATCACCTCCAGAGCACATACATGTGCATGTGAGAAGTGGCTCAGAAAGCAATGGTAGAGAGCGTGCACTGCTCCAGCCTGTGTCCTACATAACCTTTGGAATGCATGACCTTTAAGTTGCTGAAGGTTGCCTCGGAACTTGGCTCAGTTTGATGGAAACATCTGTTCCCCTCGCAGGTACACTGTAAGGACTCTTCTCTCAGTTGGATTCAGAACACAGCAAGTGAGCCCTTGTCTGTCCAACCACACAGACTTCAACACTTGTAAATCAAGTTCTGAGAGGACAACAGCAGGTCCACACTCCGTCACCCTCTCCCAGCCAGCTAGGCCAACTGACTGCTGTGAGAACTGCTCTTATCATGTCATCAAATCAAAGCATGTTGAGATGAGGGACTAGAAGAGGCATCTGCAGAATTCCCCAACTGCAGTGACTTTGGAACATTGACAGATGCATCTGTCATCTTATACCTTCAACTAACCTGATGTCCACTGGGCTGACACAGTAAAGCTGTCCAAGATCGATTCCAATTCTTTCACGTTATTTTCACATGTCTCTACTAGGAAGGCCTGGTGCTTCTTAGCCTTTTAATTAAGGGAGGGGAAGCATACATAATAAGGTTACATATTGTAGTAGCTGCAGATTTTATTGTGAATTTATACAGCATAATTAAGTCTCAACAAGATATTAATTACCCAGTTCAAATCCATTACTAATAAACTCTGTCTTAACATATTTTTACTTGGCCGAATATACAAATGTACAAAGTCTAGGAAAATAATTCACTAAAGACTTAGTGCCTCGCACTTCTTAAGTACTTTGTAAGCAGGGCTATGGTGGCTCATGTCTTTAATCACAGCAGTCCAGAAGCAGAAGCAGGCAGTCTCTGTGAGTTCACAGCCAGCCTGGTCTACAATCCCAGTTTTAGGAAAGCCAAAGCTGTTAACACAGAGAAACCCTGTCTCTGGGGTTAAAAAACAAAAAAAACTAAATACTTTGTATATAACAAACCTTTCTAACCTTAAAATAATGCTATGACAAAAGATAGGAATTTTATAATACTAAAACTGAAACAGGAGGCTATAAAGATGGCTTTATGGGGAAAGTGCTCACTGCATAAGCATAAAGCCCTGAGTATAGACCCCTAAAACCAGGTATGATGGCACACACCCATGATCTCAACACTGGGGAAGCAGACATAGGAACTCGAGGCCAGCCAGTCTAGACAAATCCACAAGCTGTGGGTTCACTATGAGACCCACTCAAAAGATAAGACAGAGGGCAATAAAGGAGCTCACACAATGTTAACCTTTGACCTCCACCTGCTCGAGCATGACTGTGCACACATACATGCATGTGCTTACACACATAGTCCATAGAGAAATTGCATAAATTCAATTTTAAACTGAGAAAGAAAATTTAAAGAATATTAAAAAAAAAAAAAAAAAAAAAAAAAAACCTGCTTGCAATTACACGGTAGAACAGCCAGGCCTTAGGACATCACACTAGGATGCATGGCATTCACTAGACTCCTCCAATAAAGGAGGAGACAATATCAAGCCTAGGGATTCAAACTAAAGAACTGGGTGGATTTCAGGGCTTGGTGAGAATAATGGAGGTCAGGGCCATTCAGGCTGCTGCTGTTCTCTGGCTTTCTTGCTTGTTTGCTTTCGTACTTGCTCACTGCTGGCAAGGAGAGTGAAGAATTCACTGCTTGCTCAAATTCCACAAAGGAGACAGAAATCATCGCTAGCACTGACACGAAGCCTGGTAAGTAGCAGGCCTTAACTGAATATGTGAAAATGAGCAGACAGCAATGTGAGAAGCAACTGGGCACACAATGCAAAACCAGGGTAAGCCTGGGAATCCTTTACAGGCACTGTCTAAAATTCATCTGTAGAATGTTTGATAGAAAGGGAGAAGAGACCAAAACAGTCTTCAGGAGATCCAGCATCTTTACCAACTAAAGAGAGCAGAAGAAAGGGGAAAACTGGAGAACATAATATCATGAAAAGAATGGTTTCAAGGAGAATTGTCAATTATGTTCAGTGCCACAGAAAGGCCAAGAAAGTGAGGACTAAGAAGTGTCCACTGGGCATGGAGGTCATTACCAACTTTAAAGAAATGTCTTAGCTACAGTACAGCTGTAACACAGACTAAAATAGGTTGCAGAAAGGGTAAGCCTGACTTTTTTCCTAATCAAGTATAAGATGAATAAATGGAAACAGAAACTTCAGAAATCATTTTTGTGGTAAGAAGGAAGGAGAGAAACATGGATGAAAACGAAAGGGGGGTCAAAGAAAAGTGGTTGTTTGTTAATGTGAGAAATCTTAAGCCTATTTAAAGCTGATGAGATCACTACAAGTGAAAGAATGTTTGCAAATACAGAACAAGCAGGAGAGATGTGACAGGACAAAAATTACATTCTCAGAACACAGAAACCCTCTGGTCCACAAGGGAACTGCTCCAAAGTTCCGGAGGATACCTGAAAGCAAACAGCACTGAGCCAAATGTATACTATATTGTTATACATACCTATCAGATGGTTTATTTATAAATTAGGCACAGCAAGAGGTTTATAGTAATAATTAAAGTAGAACAATTACAATAATATGTACTATTATAAAAATCATATCAACATGGACCTCTTTCTCTCAAACATCTTATTCTGCCTTATTTTTTTTTTTTACTTAAAGGATTGCAGTTTGAAGCTTTTTGTAGCCTATCTGAATTGTATCACTATGGTTTACCTGGACACTAGAGTCTGTGACAGTAGGATGAGTCCACCTGGTCACTGGGTTGCTACTCATGATTAACAGGCAGCTAGTGTATATAGCATGGGTGCCCCACTGTGTCCTGGACAGGACAATGTAAGAAATCATCACACCATTCAGATATCTTCATTCAAACTTGGGAAGTCTTCATTTCTAGAATTTCCCATTTAGTATTCCCACAGCTAATAGGGAATTACTGAGGATCGGGGATGTACAGTGCTTGTCTAGTGTGTTCAAGGTCCTGAGTCCAATGCACAGCATTGCAATACCTGGGTCAGGGGCTATTGTATATGACAAGTAACGATTCCATATTCAGGGCTTTGCTCAGTTACTATGTCAACTTCAAAGAGCACTCTGTTTTCATTTGAGTGGTTCAGAGAAGCCTCGTGAAGAGGGGATTATTATTTGCCCTTGCCAACATATACTTAACACCCAGACAGTACCTAGTATCTAAAACAAGATAAATAAATGATGTGCTCAACTGGCCTCTTTCGCATGGGATGGGAGGCCCTAAGTTATAGTGCTTTGTTGGACTTATATTTCAAGGATAAATTCCACTGGCTATAGTAAAAGAAATTTTTGTCCTGCTAAAACTTCTATTTGCTGGTGTCACGCTGAGAATTTTACCAGCTGTATTTAAAAAGATACTGGCCGGGCATTGGTGGCACATGCCTTTAATCCCAGCACTGGGGAGGCAGAGGCAGGCAGATCTCAATGAGTTCGAATCCAGCCTGGTCTCCACAATGAGTGCCAGGATAGGCTCCAAAGCTACACAGAGAAACCCTGTCTCAAAAAAAACAAAAAACAAAAACAAAAAAAACAAACAAACAAAAAAAAAAGATACTGTATTCAGCTTTCTTATATCTGTACCTGTGTTTTGTTAGTGTGGTATCATTAACCACAGAATGGAATATAAAGTGTTTTCTCTATGGTTTCTCAATGAATTTGTATTAATTCATCTTAAATGGCTAGAATTTACCAATAAAGCAGTCTAGCCTGTGCTTTTCCTTTTAGGATTTTTTTCCAATTAAAAATTTAAACACCTTACTTGATTTTCTGTTATCAAGTTATTTTGGTGGTTTCTATCTTCCCAGAATATTGCCTATTTTAACTAAATTATCTAAGTCATTAGCAAACAGATGTTCATGGTATTATCTTGTAATTCTTTTCAATTTATTTATTTATATTTTCTCTATGGTTTAAAAATTTGATCTCTTCTTATTTCCTTGATGACTATGTCCAACTATTGTCAATTTAGCTATGTTTTCAAATAACCAACTTTTGGTTGAGTTCTTTTTTTTTTTTTTTTTTGGTCTTTTGAAAGAGTATTTCTCTGTATAGCCCTGGCTGTCCTGGAACACACTCTGTGAACCAGACTGGCCTTGAACTCAGAGGTCTGCCTGCCTCTTCCTCCCAAGTGTTGGAGTTACAGGTATGTACAGGCATGGATTTCTTCCATTTTTAATCTCTTACTTTTCTTTCCTTTTCTCTTTTTTCTTTCTCTACTGTTCTGAGGTTTGGCTCAAGTCTCTGGAGTAAGATGTTAGGTTCCTAGTTTGAGACTATTTCTTCTAACTTCCCTCCTAACCACACTAACACCCTATAAAGTTTGGTATGCTTTCAAAGTATTTTCTAGTTCCTTTGTGATTTCTTTTTAACCTGCTAGCTACTTGGAGTGTGTTCACTAATATTCTCATATTTGCAAATTTTCCCCATGCTGTCTGCTAGTATTGATTTCTAACTTAATTATATCATATTTAGAGGCTTCATATAATGTTTCCTTTTTTTCTTTTAGCAGTATTAGGGATTGAACCTAGAGCTTGTACATGCTAGGTAAGCTTTTTATCACTGAGCTATATCCTCAGACCACTCTGTATAATTTTAATCCTTTTAAATCTATTGACTTTTCACATGGCCTAGACTACAGTCTGTACACAAAAGTGTCATTTGTACTGGAAGAGTATGCTGTACCACTGATGGATGTGGTTCCACAGACATCTGTAAGGTCAAGTTCGTTTATAGTACTGTTGAGCCTTTTATTTGTTGGCATTATTCTTTTATTCCTCCTTAGGTTACTCACTACCTTGGAGCTATGTCAACTGTGTGTGTGTGTGTGTGTGTGTGTGTGTGTGTGTGTGTGTGTGTGTGTGTGTGTGTTAACTTTCCATGACACATTAACCCTACTATCATTGTAAGATATGCCTATTTACCTATAACAACTTATTACAAAGTCTATTTTGGTTGCTCACTCAAGCCCCATGTGATTGTTGTGTGCACAGTATTTTTATCCTCCATTATATTGATACATATATTGTATTTAATACTCATTAAAATCTATGTGGTAAAAATTGTTAGTGCTATTTTGCAAGTGAGCAAATAGATCACAGGAATAATCACTGTATGTCACACAGCTGTTTGACATGGGGACAGCTTTAAAACGCAGTTGAATTTGTCTCCAAAATATGTTCTTTCCTACAAAAAGTTAAATATCAAGTGGAGCATGCTTTTAATCACAGCACTCTGAAGGTAGTGGCAGATGGATCTCTGGGAGTTCAAAAGAAATGGGCTCATGAATAGACAGTTCGCACAAGAAGAAACACAAATGGCCCATAAATATTTCTAAAGTGTTTACCACCCACAGTCTCCAGGGAAAGGCGTATTAAAACTACTTTGACGTACAGGAGCTGTACTGCAAATGTATCTGTTGGGAGTGGGCTTCAAAACTACATGTGATTGGTTGTGGGTTTCTGTAATGGGCTCTGTCAAAAATTAAAAGAAATAATTTTTAACTATTGCTTTTAATTTTTGAG